CTGCCCGACGTGATGATGCAGGGGGTGGAGCAGTACACTTCGTACTTCGATGAGACCACCTCCAAGACGCGCCGCCTGTCCTGGCAGGTGCGCGGCGGCTTCCGCGCCTGCTGCTGCGGCGGCGGCGGCTTCCGCGCCTGCTGCTTGCGGCCGGCGGCGGCAGGCTGTGCAGGGGGGTGGTTGCAGGGGAACGGCAGGGAATAGTGGGGCCTAGCAGGCAGGCCAGCATTACCGCGCCCCCTCTTAACACCGCGGCCCCTCCTGCCTGCCTGCCTGCCTCCCTCCCTGCCTCCCCCGCAGTTCACCAACGGCACCGTGCATGTGAAGGCCACCTACGACAAGAACTACGAGCTGATCCTGATGCCGCTTCAGGCCGCCGTGCTGCTGCCCTTCAACGACAGTGAGAGGCTGCCTGGAGTGGGGGTGGTGGGGGCGGTGGGGGTGGTGGGGGTCTGCTGCTGCGCTGCTGCTGCCCTGCTGCTGCGCATGCCTGGCAGGCAGGCGTTCTGCTGCCGGTCGACGGCGTGGAGGCAGGCATGCGCCACATGGCATGCAGCGCTGGACATGACGTGGCCGGGGCCTTGCTCCACCCTCCCTTTATGCGTGCTCTCTCGCAGCGTGCGTGCGCAGCGCCGCGCCCTGCCTGCTCTCACATCTCCCCTCCCGCCTCCCGTCCCTCCCTTCCCCCGCAGGCGACTCACTGTCATACGGCGAGCTCAAGGAGGCCACCAAGCTTCCCGACGAGGACCTCACCCGCTGCCTGGCCTCCCTCACCCTGTCCAAGTACAAGCTGCTCGCCAAGGTGGGCGGCGCGCGGCGGTGGCAGGCAGGCATGGGCAGGCAGGCAGGCGGGCTTGAGGGCGTTGGCGGGGGTGGGTGGCAGCCAGGGCAGGGCAGGGCGAGGGGGCAGCCGCGGCCGCGCTGCGCAGGTGTGGCAGGGATCCGCGCCGGTGCACACACCACCCAGGCAGACTTGAACACGAAAAGCACCACAACCCTGCCACGAGCCTCTCAACCTTGCCCACACCCCCACCCACACCCACACTCAATACCCACACCCACACACCTTCCCCTCCCCCTCGCCCCGCAGGAGGCTGCCTCCAAGGGCATTGGCCCCGCCGACTCCTTCCGCATCAACCCCAAGTTCACCGACCGCATGCGCCGCATACGGGTGGGTGGGCGGCAGGGGGCATGCTTGCCACACATGCATCACGCCGAGAGAATGCAGTCTGGCTGTAGTTGTTGTGCGCCGGGCGTCGACCCCTCGAGCTCCAACAGTGGTGTGAAGCGACCACTCATACAAACACCGCCACCGCCGCGGCCCCCGGCTTCCTGCCTGCGCGCCGCGCGCAGGTGCCGCTGCCGCCTGTGGACGACCGCAAGAAGGTTCAGGAGGATGTGGACAAGGTGAGGGGGCAGGGGGGCGGCGGAGCTCTGTGGGGTTGTGCAGTGTGGAGCGAGGGGTCGCCTCCTCGCGTGCGGCTCGGCCGTGGGAGGCGCAGCGGCTGCTTGTTCCACACAGCGCAGCACCGCACAGCGCAGCACCCCACCCTTTCCGACCAACCCCGCCTCTCGGGCCCACCACCGCCTGCACCCTCCCCCCACCTTCGGCTCTCACCCTCCCCTCGCCTCCCCCCTACCCCGCAGGACCGCAAGCACGCGATCGAGGCGGCGATCGTGCGCATCATGAAGTCGCGCAAGGCGCTGAAGCACCAGCAGCTGCTGGTGGAGGTGGTGCAGCAGCTGCAGCGCATGTTCACGCCCGACGTCAAGGTCATCAAGCGCGCCATCGACTCGCTCATAGAGGTGGGGGGGGCTGGTGTTGCCATGAGGTGTGGGGCGGCGGCTGCGTGTACTGGTGTGGGTGTTTGTTTTGTGTGGTGTGTGGTGTGGGTGGCTGGGAGGGGTTGCTGCTGTGTGGGGTGGCCGATGGTTGGGAGGAGGGCTTTGTGTTGGGGTGGTGTGGGCAGGGCGAGGGCGGAGCCTGAGGTGGGGCAGGCTGCCGTGGCGCTGCCATCCTCCTCGGCTTCGGCTTCGCCAGGCTCACGCTTCCCTCGCCGCGCCCGCGATTTCCTCCCCGCCACCCGCAGCGCGACTACCTGGAGCGCGACGCCAACGACCAGCAGCTGTACAAGTACCTGGCATGAGGCGGTACGACCGGCGGTACAGCTCGCACTAGAATCGGCAGTACAGCTTGCAGTACGCATGGCAGTACAGCATGCGGCGCGCGTACCTGGCGCAGCAGCCGGGGCCGGGCCTTGCTGCCGGCGCCCCTGCCCCTGGGGGCGTGCCCCTTGTCTCTGGTAGCTCCCCTGCTCGCCTTCTGCTCACAGCTTTTTCCCAGTCCGGTCCCTCCTCTGCACGTGTGCTCCCCCTTCCCCTGCAATTGCATCGCTTGAATTCGCAGCAGCCCCGCTGCGTGCTGCCCTGTACACAAGCTCAGTGAGAGTGCTCCGCAGGCGGCTAGGGGTGGTGCACTGTCAGAGGCAGCGGCGGTGTCAGGCATGCAGGTTTCAGCTGCCTCACGTCCCTCCTCATCGCCTCTCCTGCTCAGCTCCCACTGGTGCCAGAGGCTTACACGAGCTGATGCTGAGCATAGCCAATCAAGGTGAGGCAAGCCAATCAAGAATGAAGAATCAAGAAGAAAGTAGGGGCAACCAAATCAAGGGCCGCTTGGCGCAGCGGCGGCGCTGCTTGGCGCAGCAGTTGGGGGGTGGGCGGGGGATGCCTGCCCAGGCGGTGGCGCCTGCCTGGTGGGATGGGGCGCGCCTAGCAGCAGGCGCGGGGGCGGGGCTGGTGCTGGTGGCAGCGCCGGGTGGCCGTCTTGGCCTGCTGCCGGCGGGCGGGCATGGCAGCACACAGGGTGTGGCTCAGGTGGCGGCAGGGCTTCTGCTGCTGCCTGCGCTGGCCACGCAGGGCCCGCAGGACCGCCGTTAGCGGGCGGGGCACAGGCCAGGAGCGGCGCTGGGGCTTGGTGGCGGCGGCGGCGAGGGCGGCGGGTGCCTCGTGGGCAGGAGCTGGAATGGTGATGGCGGCGGGCGCGGCAGCAGCCTCAGGCTCCTCAGCGCGGGTGGAGGGCTGGGGCGGCAGCTTGTAGCAGCTGGTGAGGCCGCGAGGCGACACGTCTTCGGCGTCGGCTTGGCAGCCGCAGGCGGTGTTGGCGGCGGCGGCGGAGGTGGTTGGCGCGGGGATGGGCGGGAGGAGGCAGGCCAGGCGGGCGGCCCAGCAGCCGGCTGGGGCGGTGGGCTGGAAGGCGGGTGTGGAGGAGGGCAGGGAGGGCCACAGGGCGAGGTCGTGCGGGGAGGCCAGGGCGGCCAGGCCGGCTTGCAGGTGCTGGGCGGGGATCTCGCCGCTCGAGGTGCGGGAGTAGGGGGCAGCCAGAGCGGTCTGCAGGGGGGGGGGGGGGGGGCCCCCCAAAA